ATACGGAATTTTCTTTGTGCTATCTCGCATTGCTCTAAATTGATAGAGAAAAAAAAACTTAATATATTCGCAACAACATTTCTTTATATTTTTCAAAGAAAAATAAATGCAGTAATATATTACTCATTAAAATATGGAATGCAGATTCGATCGTTATTTACGCGATCGAGATTTGTAATTTAAATTTATGAAAACCATGAAGGAGTTTGTGTCGATAATTTATGCTAAATATACGTATATTGAATTTTATATTGAGAAGATCAGTTATAATATGCTGTTCAATAATCAAAAACTGTTCATTATGCACACCTAACTATGATAAATATTAAGAGCACGCTGGTGCAACTCGTGAATAGTTCAAGCCGATCACGTCTTACTTCCGGCGAGACAAAATTGTGCTACGGCTACCGCGCACTTTGTTGAATTAACGAGCGATAGCAATGCTCCATTAAACATAAATGACAAATGACGTTTTTATATGTTTTACATTTGCGAATGCGGTCGCTTAACGAGAAATCGATTGCCGTGAATTATGCGTGTAAATATCAAACCAACTAGAACGTGTAATTTCCAATTAATGCAGTAACGGGGGGATTCTCGGTCTTCCTTAACGCATCCGATGGGATAACGATCCCTAATAATGGACCGGTGTCAGATCGATCAAGTGCAATGAGTTAATTTATGTGCATGATATGTTCGTCGCTCCATCGATTATACTCGATGTACCAATACGCATGATAAAAAAGTAATAAAATATGTTTTGCATAATTAATTCTTCCTTGGCATTTTTTTTCACCGCAAAAAAATTAGGCGTGATGTAATAAATTGCGCATTGCAAAATAAGAAAAAATTCATGCCGAACATAAGATATATTACGTAATTTCACGGCGTAAAAATTATTTTTAATGCATAAAAAAAAATTTTTAATTAATCAAAAACATTGGATAAAGTCATACAAAAGTTGAGTTTCATACTCTGGAATTAGCAACAGTTCGTTTACCAATTTTCTAGAAATTTCAACGTTACACAAGATCACTTGATTCATTTTGAGTACTGGCTTCTTCCTGCGCGATAAGTTCATTTTCCAGGAAGCTATTAATCAAGATTAGACATTATTCTTCGTAAGAGGACAAATTGTTAAGGCGAGCAAAGCGTCGAATCATTGTAAGGTGAAGGAAAAACCTCTCTCGGAGCGAGCCAAGACACGCGCAATATCGCAAAGGGTAATGAACAGAGTCTCGTACTAATTATGCTCGCGAGGCGAAACCGTGGAATTATACGGGTGGTTATATAAACCGTTAATTCTTATCTGCGCGCGCGCGCTTGTTTCCGTCTATCTGTTCTTTCGTTCGCTTTTAATTCACGCGATATTCGCGGTACCGTGAAACTCGCGAGGAGAAGAAAAGAAGACGAAATTATTCCAGCTTTAAAGCAGCTCATTATTACGGTAACTAATAATGCGGAACGTTTTCGACCGATTCGCGAATCCGGTTTTCGGCCTTATTCGCGTGGAACGCGCGCGCGTTTTTGCATCATCGTTTCTCGAAGCTGACGATAATCAAATCCATATAAATAATAAGAATAAAATAACAGAGCATGAGCATGCAATTGCTTTTACGGATTAATTTTGCATTAAAAAATACGATATAAATATGGTAAAATTAAATTTGAGATTGAATTTGCTTTGCCAAATTCGCATATTCTTTTACGAACAATGTAGACCCGTTCATTTACAGTTGATAACTGTTGCCATGGATAAATCCAAGTATGCTGCTGACGTGCATAAATAAATCGCGTCGTTCGAGTATTAATGCACGACAGCGTGATGTAACGCTGCAAAATCGCGCGTGCTGGTATCGGAATTTGTTTATTCTTCTTGTTAGCTCAAGACTTCGAAGTAGCGACATCGCGTTGCGAGGTCGACGGGAAGGAGAGTTTTCTGCGCACACCCAACCTTTGCCGAAGACGTTTGCTTGCTGCATTAGCAAGGATTTGTTCGCTAATTCAGTATTCCGCATTCAAAACGGTCTCGTCGATTTGTTATACGATATTACGTTACGAGATTTAATGAAAAAATATTTTAAAAAATTCAATGAAATAAAGTCAATATATGGCTTCTGCGATTCTCTGAGCACTCTGTGCGTGACTAATAGATAAGATTTTTTATCGTCGCAATTATATAAATTTTTAGCTTTATGTCGAGCATCACACACAAATGATTCACCTTGCGATAACTTTAATCGGGCACAATCTAAACCTCCAAATTAACGGACTCTCCAGATATTATCACCATTATCACAGCATTATAATCATCGCTAAAGCGAGTCTCCAAGCTTTTGTGCGATCCTCACAACACACTTTGACGTTTACACAACCGCACCGATTCGATTTTTCTTCTCCGAGCTACTACGAGCTACCGATGTCGCGGATCACATTATCGTTTCCGGCTGATAACGAGCTCAGGCGTGATCGCGAGAGTCCAAAGCCCAGTCAGCCCGGAGCGCGATTCGCGGCGCGAACGGAATGCCGAAAAACGCGGGCACGAGGAGGAGAGGAAAGAAACTGTTCGTAGCGTGGTACACGCACTCGTGACACGCGGTGACGCACACGCAAGGCGTCACTGAGAGATGCGACGCGCGCTCTTCCCATTCGGTTCGGCCCGGCTCGGCTCCGCTCGGCTTCGCTGTTTGACCGCGTGCAAGCACGGCTCCATCCGGTCGGCGAGACGCGGCACGAAAGGCGAAAGAGCGCGTGCGGCGACGACAACTGGACTGGCTGCTCTGTGGCGCGGGTAACCGGCGAAAGCAAGCCGCAGCGCGTTCGTGACTCACGAGCTAGCCAGCCAGCCGGCGTATGCGGCTGTTCGGAGCGCTTACTACCGTAGGACGAGCTCAAAGTGCAAGTGCCGATAGCAGTGCCGTGGGTGCTGCCGACAGCACCCGCCAGTCGTTCAGTTCGTTTAATTAAATATTAGACGAAATTTTGAAAAATGAAGCTAAAATTGCATCATGGTAAAGCGTCAATTATTCAGACAAGTCGAGAGAATTCGGAGTAAATATTATAAGTGCTTTATCCAAGAAGCAAATTGTTAGAAATGTTTTGGCAGACTGACAGTTCTGATTACATTTGCTGTCAATCAGTTAACATTGTTATCGTTTGGCTAACTGGATTTAGTGATGTTTTAAGTATAGCTTTATTTCCTCCACTTTTAATAAAAACTTTGAAGCACTATGTTTTATAATTATTATGCTCATTTGAGAACACAAATAAATATCCTTAATTCTTTCTTACACTTTTATAATTATAAATTTTTTAAATTTTGGATAATTAATTCTATACACCCATCGAATATCCGAATACTTTATTACAATTCTGGTTCTGGATTTTAAAATCCGCACAATCACAGATTAAAAACATTTTCAAGAAAAACACAAGTCCACCGATTTATATGGCCACCTGTAGATCCACATGCGCAGAGAAAATTAAAAGAAAACTACGAGCCTGACCGAACACACACTTTCTCACAGCACTCGCGATCTTTTTTCACGCGAAAAATTAGTTTACCTTATGCGCGTTAAATTTTTTTTCAATCAGTTCAGCTAGATGCATTCGCGATGCAACACGCAAGCTGCGAAAGATCGCGCGCGATGCATCTCGTCGTTACACGTTTCGCGGCAGATAAAAAAATCGAAAGCGGGCGAGAGAAGCGCGTGGAATCACGCTCTCGCGATTGAAGAGGATTCGGTTGGGAAATCGGATTCCCGCGAGTAAGTCCCCGTGGATCAGCAGCGCTCGCTCGCTGACCTCGGGCCCGGTGTCTGGCGGAAGACTGATCGCCCGAGAGCTGGAAAGCTCTTCGGGCCCCGCTCGCATTATCCCAGGAGTTACGCCGCGCGCGCGATCGCGACCTTCGTGCTCTCTGCCGGGATCGATCGATCGGAACGGGAGCGGATCGTGGAACGAATGGCCGATCCACGGATAGGGGGGGCAGGATAAAAGGATAATTACGGTACGATGCTGCTTTCGCGTCATTCTTGCGCCGCTTTATCGTCATCTCCCGCTCTATCGGTTAATCTTAATCCCTTTAATAACGAATTATTGTTTTCACGTATCCACGCGAAGTAATCTTGCTGATCATTCTTGAAATATAGATTTGATAGTTCTTAGCGTGTAAATATTAAGATTGAATTAGGGTTCAACTGGGAAAGACGGATATAACAATTAAGTAAAGTGCATTTACTGGTTTTCATTATGAAATGACGAATAAAAGAAGATTTAGGACTCAATAAATTCTTTCATTTTTCACGAGGCACATTTGCCGTCTAATGCGTTGAACACATTCACGCGAATTTTTACTTAGTTTTCGCTGCTCATTAAATCATACAAAAGTTCGATGGCGTGCAACGTAAATGACTGAGCGCGAGGCAAATAGGTTTTGGATTCAGAAACCGTTGAAACGCAGGGAAGTGTAACCGTTCGTTAGCACCGACAAATCTCTTTCAGCTCAGCCGTTACGCTTAGAAAAGTACGAAGAAAGAAGTAACGTTTCTCTTTTCGACTTCATGATTCGAAGATCAGACTCGAGCGCAACTCGACTCCTCCGTGCGAAGGCTAGATGTAGATAAATGTGAGAAAGATAACTGTAAATTCACTGACGAACGCGAAATTATACATGAGATTTTATAGGACTGTTTTATGGATGCAGCAAGTACATCCGCTTCTACTAAAATTAGCTCTTTGCCGGAGAAATAATATGATTAAAAATTGTCTAAAAATAGCTGACACTTTTCAGCGAATAATCTCTCATTGTGAATTTAATATCATTATGCTTTATACAAAATTTATGAAAAAAGCTCGCGACAAACGCTCGCCTCTTCCGCAATGTATGAAAGAAACGTACGTAAATTTATTCCATGTAATATTTAAGCTGCAATAAAAGCGCATATTAAAGCAACACGGAGCGAGCGAGTCTATGTAACACTTGGCTGATAAAAGTCTCGCGCAAAAATTTATTTGCGGACGAGACTTATCTATAGCATTCACCGGCATGTGATAGCGAGTCACGGGACAATAAGGGGAGTAATTAACGTCAAGCAGCTCCGTCCCGTTTATCGCGCGTTTGTAAAATTAAAAAGTTAATTCGGCCGCGTCCCCCGGCAACGGATTATCTGCGCGCTGGTCTCTTTTCACGCGTTGCAGTTTCGCGGATAAACATACGATAAGACCAGCCAACAGTCACTGGGAAACTCATGAATCGCTGGACCATGAAAAAGGCGGAGAGCGGCGGAAGCGTACGGTTACAAGGATTATCGGCCGTCCCTGCTTCTTATTGCCGCGGTGGACCACCCGTGGTATGCGCGTTGATTAGCTCTCGGTGCGCATTCTTCTCATTTTCTCGAGGAGGAATCATGCACAGACGGCTAATAAGGCTTTCTCGATCTCTCTACTCAGTGGATAATTTTTTAGAATATAAACAACGATCGCTGGCAATCTATATTTTTCATTACTTTTTATATTTATCAATTTTTATTTCTCTAATTATTTCTCTCAATGTATATTTATAATTTTTGAAAGGAGAAATTATGCGGTAGTGCAGTAAATTTATGCGGGAAGATAATACGAAAAAATTCAACATTAGGATTGATCGAGTCAGTGGTCCACTTGCCAAGTCCACTTCATACGATATCAAATTTTTACTTATTTCGGACGCTTCATATGCGACGTCGCGTTTGCTGGCGAGAATAAATCGCGCGATTCATCGTTGGTAAATATGAAATTCGAAGCCGCGGGTTCTTGCTTTTGTAAGTGTTTTTTTTTTATCGGGGCCACCGTGACTTCGGGCAGTGACTAAGGCCGGAATAATTGGAGCACGAAGTTCGTGTTTTTTCAACCGCGCTGATATCGCTTTTCAAAGGCGCGACAAAAAAGCTGCAATTTTCTCTTGAACAGCCGTACTCTCCGGCGAAATATTTTAGGTACGAACGTCACAGTAATCCGAAGTGTAAAGTTTGCACGAGTGGTTTGGATGAAAAAAAGTAGAAATGTAAAAATATATATATAAATAAGATAAGAGGCAGATAAGGCAAATAGAGGTATGGGCATTCCACTTTCGCGTATGCCGAGCATGCTCCTTGTACGCAGATCTATTCTCGCTTCGAGCTGAGCTCGATCGTTTTAATAACGATCCGCCGGGGGAATCGCAGGCGGAGCGTTAACGTCGACGAACCTTTCTCTACCATTTTTGTAATCTCCGGGATCAGTCTGTAGAACCGAGGGAATCCATGAAACCGCACACCACAAACGGCCGAGCAGTGCGTAGCGACTAGCACGCAGATATCATAAACAGCGCGTAAACTCATTTCGAGCTTTACGTAAGCCGTTTACTCCGGAAGCGACGCAAGTCTGGAGACCCAATTAAAACAGACACACCGGATCGGATTCAATTACAAATGTGTTTAACTCCGTTTGCTCGATTTCGATATAATAATTTTATAACGCTACATCGAAGAACCGTGAGATAATATTGCGGGAACAGAGAGATCTACAAGATACCGAAGATGGAAATTTTTGTAGGTAGATTTCATTAGATCATTACGCAGCTGAAAACCGTGCGGATAAATGAGCTTTCGGTAAAAGGACTTCTTTTTTTGCTAGCCACCTGCAGTGCCGTCGATGATATCATTCGGGATCAGCCGGCTGTCGAATCGTGGGAACAATTATCGCGCGATACGGCTCGCGCTACAAAGGATCGCGTGAGATTCTTCAGCCGGTGCTGCCTCCTTTCTGACTTCCGTTCGCACTCGGCATATTGCAAACGGGTTTTACATCCCGGCCGTAGGGTTTCACGCGGCGTGATTATCTCTGTCTCACACTGAGTTTCGATTCTGCATCGTCAAGTGAATCACGAAAGGGAGAGAAAAAAGAAAGAGAACGCATGGATCCCGCTGAATAGGAGTGCTAATAATGCATCAATATTGAAAGGGCTGGCTTAAGAAATGGAACAATAAAACGCAGAAATCTATTGAAAAATCAATAGAATTCAGAAATTGAATAATGCAAAAAGCATAACAATGATAAAAGTTTTAATTTATGTTTATTATGGAATAACTTATTGGATAAACTGCGCGAAAATTTTTTTAAGTATTAAAAGATTTAAGAATTTAAGTCTCTGGTAAGAGGAAAAAAATTAACTTTTAGTAAAAAAGTTTTAATAATCTTAGCGATGTATAAGTCTCGTAAGAAAAATACAAAGTTTATGTTCTTTTGATGTGAAATAATGATAAGCTTCGCTGCTTACGGCAATCCCACCTGCCGACAGATGGCAGAACCAACTTAGATAATAAGGTGGTATGTTGTCAAAGAATTCAATGAAAAAACATGCGTACAACTATGCTGCGCATTCGTGTCACTTTATCTCATACATTTACATCTCGTTATGTAATTTAATGCCAATGTAATGCCAATTAAAAGCATGCGATTACACGATATTTCGCTTGATTATTTTTTATTTGTAATCTTCCAGACAATCAAGGAATTGTATTAGTAATTAAAAATTTAATTTCTATTTAAATGATGGAAATTTGTTTTATATAGGGCGACATGTTTAGTGTTATCTAAAATGAAAACATTCGCGACACAGTGACACATTTGTAAATTTTCAATCTATGTCGCGTAATGTCATTTACGAACAATAGACTTTTGTCCTTTCTCGGAAGAAAAAGACAATGAATAAAGTACAAAAGGAGCAACGTGGCAAATAAATTAAAAGTTTCCCGTGCGAGACACATGCTCTCTCGTTTATTACTTTCTTTATTTTGAGCTACGAAACCTTCAC